CATATAACCACCTGGCAGCATATGTCAGCACAACACCTGTTTCTGGGGAAGACTGTAGATGCTGAAACTGAGTACAACAACACTGTAGTCTGTAAACACGTGTACATTTATGGAGGTCTGGGAAATCAAAGGGTGACAAACAGAAGCTTAGGGGTAGTTGCAGTTGTAGGTATATTGTGACCAGTTTTCACTTCAAGCGAAGTCCATAAAATATGTTAATAAGACTAGATAACAGCACATTATGCCCAGTGTACCTGCATATGGCCTCAACTGCATCACCTGAAGTCATGCTTTATGGAGGTGGCCATCTGGGAAATCACCTCCCTGTCCAGCTGGGAGAATCTGGGAGGGAAACATGAATACAAAACACTCTTCCCTCCCTCATTAACTACTGCAGAGGCCCTTTAGCGATGTACATAAACTCTGGTCCGTTCAGGGGAGTTGCTCTGTACTTAGCAGCAGAAAAAAGTGGTAAGATCTGAGGTGTGTATTAGGGCATTTCTAAACTCGGGGGTGGACTTTCTTTTCCCTCTGTCTGGTTGGGTAAATGTTAAAAAACAGATGGGAAATATTACAGCAAGCAGTGTGGCCACATATCCAACTGCAACCCATGAGAGCTTTGGTATTGAAAGCCTGCTGCTATACAATCTCAGCCACATGAATTCATGAGGGGTTTGTGTGATTGATGACAAGATAAGTTATAAAATCTCAGAGGAACGGCATAGAGCTTAAAAACACACTCACAGTAGTATGTCAATGTGGTCAGTAATATGTCGCTGCAGTCTATCAATGCACTAAGCCAATTTTAACACATCTGTGGATATTTATTACACTTCAACAACTTGGGGTACAGATGCAGCTCTCTCTTATACACACACCAACACACACAGATTCAAAAACATGTCCACAGTGGACCTGCGGGATGCCTTTCTCTGTCCCTAGAGGTCCAGGACTCAGAGGAGCAGAGAGTCCTGTCACATTGTGACCAACTCATTGGCCTCAAGCTGTCTAAACACACACTCTCACACATACAGACAGACACTGTGCAGGAGTTGCAGTAGTAGAGAATGCCATGTTGCCATGGTGATGGGGAATGATGTCACAGCACTTACCCGAAAAGGGGGCAGCGAGAATGTTGTTTATTCTCAAAAACGTCTGTGTGCACCACTCTGGCTCCTGTCGCTGTAAGAAAATGCAAAGTGCCAGATATTTCCACGTTTTTCAGTCGGCTCACATTTTACTGAAAGGCTCCAACAATCAGCCTCTTGGAGGATCATTCCAGCTGAGACCCTAGAGATGTGCAGCGCTACTGAGGCCAAACAAGGAGGTCCAGTCCCTAATTTAGGCCCACAAAGTACACAACCACACACGCACACACATAGTGTTTTCAGTCAACAACAACAAGAAACATCCTATTGAGTAACTGAGGAAGGATCACAGCATGGTGTCACCCGTGGGCGAGAAGAGAAACACTCAGCTATACACATGCACATAAAACCACGTAAGCGCGCACTATACAAGCATACGCACTCAGCGGGCATGCCCTGCAGGCATCACTGGCATTTGGATGGCTCTGGCACAATGAGAGCACAGTGAAGACCAGTAGCGGGATTTCTGCCATGCTGAGCATCTCAGTGGTCAGTCTCACACACAGAGGCAGGGCGTTCGCTTGGAAAGAGATACTCTCTCCTGCTGTCTCTGAGATACAGAGTCAGCAAGAGACAGTGAGGAGCGACTGTCTGTGTGCATGTATGCGTTTCCATGATGGTGCGGAGGGAGACAATGGCAGCTGATAGCCAGCATTTGTGCTGCCAAACCCAATAGGCAGACAACTGTAATTGCCTGCCTAATCTGGGCTGTGGAGTGGCCAGGTGTAATGATAGCAACTCAGTGAATACACCTCTCCTCCGCTCGTTAATGGATGCTTGCTGCTCCCCTCCTATACCGTTGCTGTCAATTCACCATTTCACTGTTTGGACCCAACGAAATGTTCGGAAAAGTGGAGAAAATACTCTGTAAAAAGAAATATGTCAGCTCTTGACACCTGGCTGTCGAGACATTGTGTGAATACTAATCGGCAAATGTATGAGAGTGAAATGAGTGTCCGCTGTCATTGTCTCCACGGAGATCTTTTTGCTGCTCCTTTGGAGCCAAACAGCATTGCCAAGACTGATCTGTGAATGACCAGTCCTCATTATCCAATGCTAATGATACAAACATGTTTATGCATTACTTACCTGAAAAGTTATAGATAAATGAATTAGCTGATGAGCAGATGTGGGTTATAATGGCTGAAAATTATAATACAATGATTAATCAGTCAAGTATTTCCTATACACTCAAATGCTTTAAAGCTACTGTACATATTTTTGATATTAGCAGTCGATCAAATGACTACGTGTGTGAAATGGTGTCCTTGGTAGAGAGTCATCACAAGTAATGATTGCCCGATTACAGTTCCTCTCAGCCTTCCTTTCAGCTCACTGTTTAGGTTTTACAGCCACATTTGCAGCAGACTGTTTTAGTGAAAGGTTTTGATAAACCTACTCTGCACTACCTGCCCAGCACTAAATGGCAGACAGACAAAGTTGGCAACTAGCTGTTGACCAAAGTGGAGTATTTAGCCACTGAAGAGCCAGATATTTCCTTCAGGAGTTGGTGAGGACCAAAATATAATACGAGAATGAATATTGGACTTCATCAGGTAGCCAGAGACACGACTCCAAATGAATGCCAATGTTGCTGCTGGATGTGTAAATGGGCCATAGTTTGTTAACAGATTTGCAATATCAGCTTATAATGTGTTGGTCAGTGTTGTGTTTAGAGCTTGTTTCTGCTGCCCCTGAAACACCAAAAAACCCAGGTATTGCAGGCTTTTAGGATTTTTTGAACCTGGAAAGATGTTTCCATGAATACAGTTCAGTGAGACAACCTGCATGTTGTTTGAATTATCTATTATTATTATTATTATTATTATTATTATTTATAGTTCACATCCAGTTTTTAGGGACTGTAAAATTTGTCTGCATTTTGAGTAAGTTTGTACCTTTCAACTCACTTTAAGGACAAAAGGAATAGCCGACAGTTGCAGAATTGAGATGACAGTGGGATTGTTACCTCTCACCCAAACAGAAATGGGGTCAAAAGAAATATAGCTGGACTCTGTTTCATTTTCTGGAGATTGCTAGTGATTTCATCACTATGAAACTTCAATGTGGCTTGACTTCATTCCAGCTGCAGCATTGTTTGGTCAGAATGACAGTGATTCGAAAATCATCAGGGAAGCATGACACTGTTTCATCATTGCTGAGATTTTCACTCGCTGGCTGTAAACTATTTTTGGGAGCAGTGCTACAAAATAGTCTTGGAGTCTCCTGATTGCTTGGACTACATGAATACACAAATACACACACACACACACAGCACTCTAGGAGCTGGTGCAATTTGCCAGGTTTACTAATTAAACAAATTTACTTGGCCAGCATGCTTGATGAGAAACCAGACTGCCTGATCCAACCTGCTAGTTTTCCTGTTTTCCAAACATAGAACACATGCACACACCGGCACACTCAAGGAAACGTGCAAATGTGTCCAGCAGTTTGGCACTTGGCACTTCTTTTATTATTCATTGTTCACTTTCAGCCAGGCTTTAAAATGTCTGTTAAACAAAGGCAAAATATTTATTGGGTCATATTTTGTTACACAGCTAGCAATAATGCTATATCACCTTTGGGAGGGTTCTCTTGTAAATGCTCTGAATTATATGACGCTGTGCTGAGATTGAGTAGCTGCGTGGGGGAGGAGTGCAGAGAAGTAAAAAGCTGTGGAGAATGATGTAATGATGCAAGTGATGGTGATGGTGATAAGAATTATGAATGCTGTAATGGTGGTGGTGAAAGTCATCCTGAAAGATAGTATTGGGACGGGGAAGTGATGAGAATGTGATGTGATGATGAACACTGGGATGAAAATGTCACAATGATGATGATAATGCTGTAATGCTGATGATTGTAATGGCAATGCTGACAATGATGATGGTGTCTTAGAAGGGTAACGCAATATACAGTTGTTGCTAAGGAAGACATTGAGTAGAATTTGTTTATAGCAAGATTATTAGGTGCATTTTATTACCTCCGCATTTGGAGACTTATAGCCTATTTCTACCGCAAGAACCTTTCCAGGGGCCCAGGAGCTATTTTTGGAACCATACCTCCATTTCTACCAGAAGAACCATGGACTAAATTGAGTTCCTCTGCCATAGCTCATGGTGGCAAAACAGCCCCTGCTCTTCGGGTAATACTTTTTGATACCCCAGTAACTATTGAGGCAGAGTTCACGGTACTTAACGTCGATGATTGGGGTTAGGTTGCCAGGTTTCCAGCTTGTCTAAAAGAAGCAAGATAAGAAGAGAGAGTGTGTACAGGCTGAGAGCACGAGTGAACAGTAGAGGTAGACAGATGAGGGATGATCAAGTGAACATAGCAAGTCCATCGAGGAATTTGAGATAAATGTGACGCTCCAGCCAGGACAGACAGTTAGCTTAGCTTAGCATATAGACTGGTAGCAGGGGGAACAGCTACAGGTAAAGAAAAGGGGAGCTTTTAGCTCCTGTGCCTTAGTACGTGGAAATTTCTGGTCCCAAACGAGCTATTGTTGATTATCATTTTCTTCTACTGTTATGGTCACAAAGTACATTTGTCAGCTCTTCATTGCATTGTTCATTGTTTGCCCTTGCTTGATTGCATTTAACTTCCTCACCGCTGTCCTCCATGATGGTTTCACTTTAAGTACATGCTCAGATTGTTCAGTCCCAGCTGTTTGCTGCTGCTAATATCCGCATGGTCCTCCCATATAAGGTGTGTATGTGGCTGAGACTCCGCTTCATTGCCATCGCAACTTGGATGCTCATTCGCTTCCCCCCATACTTTCCATGCCACTTCTCCCCCCAGACGACCATTGCCTCTTACCCCGTCTGCTGACTTTCTAGAGCCCCATATCAGTCCCTCCTCTGTTTTTCTCTTTCTTAGTTCCCCCCAACCTGACAGTCCCCCGGGGCAAGTCCCCTCTGGTGGCCCGCGAGGGTGACACAGTGGAGCTGGAGTGCCTTGTTTCAGGGAAGCCCAAGCCCATCATCCTGTGGTCACGAGCAGATAAAGAGGCGCCCATGCCAGACGGCAGCATGCAGATGGAGAGCTACGATGGTGTGCTGCGTATTGTTAATGTGTCCAGGGAGATGACGGGCTCATACCGCTGCCAGACCAGCCAGTTTAATGGCTTCAACGTAAAACCCCGCGAGGCTGTGGTGGAGCTGATCGTACAATGTGAGTAGACACAGTGTGTGTATTTTTGTCTTTATATGTGTGTATCTATGCATGTTGCAGTGTTGTGGTGTAATTTGCAGCACTGAAATAGTGTGTGTGTATCTATGTGTGGTGCGTCTTTGTCTGGTGTACTTTCTATGTATGCAGGGTGATTAATCTTAGTGTGTTCTAGTCCAGTGTGACCAAAATTGAACATTCTCCCATTTCTTTCCTTCCACGCCCATCCAATTTCCTTCTGAAGGCTGTAAAATTAGTCCAATCCCCTGGTACCCTCAGTCAGGTCTGAAAGGAAACAGCTCTGACTCCACCTCTTACACTAAAGGAAGGACTTTATCTTTGGAGTGTGAACTGAGCAGAACTAATATTAACAGAGGCACCAAGCTCTAGATACTGATGTCCACACTTATTAGGGTCTGTCTGTGTGTGTGTTTGTTGGTGTGTGTGTGTGTGTGTGTGTGTGTGTGTGTGTGTGTGTGTGTGTGTGTGTGTGTGTGTGTGTGTGTGTGTGTGTGTGTGTGTGTGTGTGTGGAGAAGACCCAAAGACTGTGTGCCATATCCCTGGGCCTTAACCCCCCCGCCACTGCCACTCATTGAGAAACACCTTCCATTCCTTAAGATGTGACATTTAAAGATGGTTTAACGACTAATTAGCGAGCGGCTAATTTATTCCCAGTAGTATTCATTTTGTATTAATTTATGGAGATTTGAATGGAACATCTCGAATGAACGTCAGGATTCAAAGCGTTGTCGCTTATTCAAGGGCTAGGGATGTTTCTCTCCCCCCAAAAAAGAACGGAAGATGGCTAGGAAAGAAACAAAGTGATCCATGTAGCGTGCAACCGTTCTCTGGCAAGTGATTATAGGAAATAGAGAAAAATAGTCTCATAGCCACAGTCAACCATTGTTTTCCTCATGGCCTACTTAGTTAATCCATACATTCTTCCATTTCAATTTACCCTAATCTAGAAAGAACCTGTGCAGCAGTATGTCACCCTTAAACTACTCTGACATGAATGGCAATTAACACGCTCCGTGCTGACTGCCATGTCTGAAGCATCCGCCCATATTTGCCAAACGTAAGACTGCAGAAAAATATCCAACAACTTTTTAAAGTGCGAACAACAAAACAAGAATTATGGCCACAGCTCAACCAGGGTTTTGATACAACATAAACTTGACACACCCACTACCAATATTTTGATTGAAGAGGAACTAGAGCAGCCCCCGTTCTGTTCTTGCAGACAAGGATTAGCGCATAATGCTGCCCTCATTTTTTTTTTTTTTCAAGACTTTTATTGTACTCTTTGCTATGGCATTCACGTTTCAGCTTAGCTGTTACCCACTGTGCTGTGTTAAGAGAATTAATGAAGTTTTGATGTGCTTTGAAGAAGACTGTGTTAAATTTTTTGGCTGAATTGATTATGATTATCCAGTGATGACAGCCCCATATCAAAGGTTAGTGGCTTTGCTACGCACCAATGCTGACACTAAAAAGTAAACAAAGGATTTGGACTCTAAGATGCTCTTCATTAATTAGCAACACTTGGTGGATCTGCTGCTTCTTACAAAGAGGGTCTGGTTTGATAGAGACAAACTGTTGTATTTAAAATTAAAACACAACTGGTGTTAATGGCTTTTTTTATGTTCACACAGAACCCTTTTGTTGAACATTAGCCAATGTCCTTATTTTAACAACAGTTACATTAAAAAATCTACCACATGTACAGCAGTCCACATGAACACACATCTACATAAACACCTGCCTCAGTTGTTTGAAAGGAGTTGAAGAATGGATGATGCTGCTCCCCCCTCAGCTCCCTCTCAGCAAAGAGCAGTTTACTGCCACAAGCAGCAATAGGTCACTGTGATCTTGCCTACCATTTGAAAAGCAGCAGGGACACATACTGTATTCTGTTTTCCATCTTTATCAGGGCAGCACAAAGGAGGCAAAAAAGCAAATAAGCACTAACTGGTTTTTGGTCAACAGACAAAATTGCAGCAATTTTTGAAAAAGATTTTCTCCCCCTGCATTTGCTGCAGCATTACATGCTACGGCTTCATCTGCAAATCAGTGGTGAATAAAAAAGATGACACGTTTAAACAGGGTCTGCCCAAAATAAAACCTTTTTTTGGATTTAGTTGAGAGTTGTTATTCTTATAGAAGATTAAGAGCATAAAATGTCCTCAAGCCGCAGTGAAAAAGAAAAGTATTTTTCAGACAATAACAGCTCTGGATATTTCACATACATAAAACATTAAAGTACATAAAACTATTCAAAAAGTAAAACATATTTATATGTAATTTATAATATGTTATTACTCTATGATAGATGAAAATAATATCCAAATATACAGAGTAGGTTGTTTTAAGACATCACAGTAAAAGAGAGTAAATTAAGCCCTAATGTCAGATAAATTGTTACAAAAAGGAATAACAAGAACAGGTAAAAGAAATTAATAAAAGCAATAATAAGTAATAAGTTAAATTGTTCAGTGTATAGAATTAGAAACTGCGCCACTGTCTGGTATAACAGATGATCGCAAATGAGTAGAGCAGGAAAAGCACCTTCAGACTATAAATTCAGGTGGCCTTAACCACAATGAATGTCCAATGAATACATTTTTTTTTTATTAATTACGTACTTTCATGGCCTAGTTAAATTCAAAATGATACAGTAAATGCTGAAAAACAAACCCTTAAAGGGACATTGTGTAGTGTTTTAAGTATTTTATTAGCCAAAATCAATGTCTTCATTCATAAATGTGTCCTCATTGGTGTAAAATTACCTCTGCCAATGATCTGACTTATCCTCGTAAGTTCAGAATTTCTTATCTGTATATACATTGGACGGGCAAGTCCATGGAGGCTTCCATGTCGTTCCGCCATTTTGAAAAACTATAATCGCCGAGAGGGACATAAAGCACCAGCCTACCTGTCTAGCTAATCCACAACGCGTTTTCGTTCAGAGCCAGCGTCACGTGACTGAAACCAGCTATAACGGAGAAGGAGATCAGTGAGAGGCGCTTGTCACTGCCCCAGCACATTTGAAAGTCTGCACTGCACTTTAGTTAATAATGGAGGATCATACTTATGCCGAGCCACAGGAGAAGGAATCCTCGTCGCCAAAAAAACGAAAAAGGGAATTAAAAAGGCAACGTGACCGGCGAATTCAAAAAACGAGGGTAAACATTGGGGTAGCTTTTCCCAGGTGGAAAGAGCTAATGAAGGAGAAAGACTTTCAAAGGGACGCTGAAGTTGCCTGCTTTCTCCTTGACAGGTAGGCTTCTTGGTACATAACAGCTACCGTAGTTGCAATACGCATTTGAAAGTATTTCAAGAACTGTAACTCCCATGAAGGTCCACAACCTTTGAATGACCCCGTCTCAGAGTTGAGGTCAATATCACTGATGCTTTCGGGCAAGATTTTTCTCCTCTGGCTCCTAACAACCAGGAAAGGTCATCTCCTATCACACTCCGCTGCTGCTGCCCCCCCCGTCTCAGTGACAGTGGACAAGGGTCACTTACAGGGAGTGACTTTTGTTAGTGCCACTCAGATGGAGATGACATGCCTCAGGAGGCGAAGAGACTCTGATGCCTCAGGTGAAAGACACATGCCATTAAGTCTATTCATTTTCTCAGATAGATCTGCCTTGGCATGCGGTTGCATCATAGGATGACACACACAATACGTGGCATGTGGGGAGTCACGTCAGTTCACTCCTGATAATTCCCTTCCTTTCAACACAAGTATTCTGAGAATGCAATTATTTCTCATTATGTAGTATCATTTTAATAAAGCACCTCTCTTGCGCTACACTTCTTGATGTCATACAGCACTTTCATCTGTTCGCCATCTTCAAAGCAGAACACATAATGAAGAGAGTTATTAGGGCTTTGGTGTTGATAAATCAATCATTCTGCTATGTTCTCACTTCAGAGCTAGTTCTGCTCCTCATCAGACTCTTGTTACTTATTAATAGTTGGCATCAAAGCCCAAGTTTAAAAAGCACAAATAATCCGTACTTGAGTTCTTAGATTGCTTAGACACAATTTGAGTATATTGGGGGAAATGTGTCCACCATGTGTACACGTCAACGCACACTGTTGACTCGGTTGCACTTGCCAAATACAAAGACCTTTGCTCGTCTTTCTCAGCCTGAGAATTTACTTTATTAATGCGATCCGACCCTGCTTTTGTTGTTTGCTCAGTAGGACTGTCGGTATGCCCCCTCCCTTCTTTCTCTTGGCCTGTCTCATGGTGTGTAAGCACCAGCCAATCCCTCTGAGATGCTTTTCTCGCCTGCATTTCCAGGTCCCAGCGTGAGCCACCCGCCTTTGGTGGTGAGCCATGTGCAAAGCCGCGTTTAGTAACTTGATCAAGGGACCGAGGTACAGTCCTCTGAAGCAAAGAGCATTAGAGGCGTGAAGGAACGACTCTGGCAAGTCAACAGCTTTGATATGTAAAAACCTGCATCTGTTGGCTGGCAGAGGCAACGCCAGGAGGAGAGGTAGAGGGAATGGAAGACGTCTGCCTTTAGAGTCGTCGCTCTAATAGAATTGCAAACGCCAAATCCCAAGCTGTGACACCCTAATGTTCTTAGTCAAACTGACTTGGCTTGATCCAGAGGCTTGAGAGAGGGAGTGAAGAAACAGAGAGAAATAGAGGGAAGAAGGAGGTATAGAGTGGTCTCCTGTCCTAGATACCACTGTCTGTCAGAGTGAGAGTTATCAAGCTCTACTTCAGCCCAGATGCAGAGGAATCTTTTATCCGGGCTTCCCTTCTGTTCCTCCTCACATCGTCCATGACACCTGCCTGATGCAACCCTGCAATTGTCCCCCTGAGCAAGCAACTCGCTATCTGACATACATCAAAAAGACACAACAGGATAAAGAGCTACTGTCTGGGCAAAAATAATGAGCAGAATTACACGATTATTGTTTTTAATTAATTTTCCTTTCTGCATCAAGAAGGCCTGCAATGCTGGCCCCTGAGGCCCACTCTAATGTGAATCATATTAGAGCGATTCACATTAGCCTAACGCCAGCAAATTAATCTTTTGCATTACAGCAGGGCTCACACACCGCATTTGGGGATGAAATTTTAATAACCTTTTTTTGTGGAACAATATTGAATTGATCAGCCGTATCAAATCCACACCCGAAAAGGTCAGAGAATATGTAGGTTGTAAACAGAAGCCTGCGCACGGCTTTGACAGAATAATTCATAACTTGGTCAATGACTGAGCTAAACCTATTAGCGGATCACCAGGCCACTCCTCGCACTGAAGAGTCTCCATTGATTATCATTACTTGTATATTTAAGTTCATAAATTATCTCTAGGTTTTAATAACAATATGGTAATGCGGATGGTGCTTAAGTTCATTGTTTGATTGCAGCGGCTGTAGTGTGAGGGAAGGAGGGCGCGTTGATGTGGAGCAGTGTTTCCCTACATTATTCAACACAGGGACTCATTATAAATCAGTCGAATCAGGGTTGTCATTGCATATTCCGTATATATCTGTTTGACTTCCTAATAAATGTTATTTCCTCTATCAAGACTTGCTATTGAAGCATGTCATGCTACAAAGGTTATTCCCCCACAAGAATGCTTTTGCTCCCGTCCCAAAACAAGGCCTTTGTTTCTTTCATACTCCCACGTGCAGTTGCTGAACCCTGTTGTGTGAAAAACGTGACATACTGTATTCCTGAATGGAGCACTGGTATGTCTCATGTTTATCCAGCTCATCCAGCAGTGGTGGAAAGTAACTAAATACATTTACTTAAGCACTGTACTCAAGTATAATTTTGAGTATTTGTATTTTATGTCTTTATTCTTATACTCCACTACATTTCAGAGGGAATTATTGTACTTTATACTCCACAAACATATAATATAAGTTTTTAACGCTTTAGGCATGTCAGTTCTTACAAGAAACAGCGCTAAGTTGAGGCCAGTTTTCATATTTTAGATGTCTATAGGTTCCAGAGTGATTTTCCCTCTAAGCTTTTCAGATGATTTTATTCAACTATGAGGCCCACAAACATTAAATTATCTCATATGTCACATAAAGAAAAGATTTAATCCAAACTAAAAAAAACTGAATACATTTTATTTTTATATTAGAATTTTGGTATGTGGTAAGTATGGTAACTACCCCTAAGTTAGGAACCACTGAATTAAACTACACAACAGAATATACGGTAGTTAAAAATACCTCCACCGTAACCAGCTACATTATTGATGTGACATTTTCATATCTACCATGAACAGAGGCCCTCTAATTTTCCCTGTTCCTCAGAAAGTACTGAGGTTTGCCGATGGTAGCTTAATATCAAACAGGAGTACGAAGAAGAAAAAGGAATTTATTATATGTGTATCTGTTGTTCTAATGCTACACTATGGAATTAGTGTTGTGGAAACACAATACATTATACTGACTGACCATGTGAGCTGTAGTGGTCTACAGGGAATTTCACCAACTCATTGCTTTTTACTTGGCCTGTATTAGTGGTCAGTCTTTTGTTTTTTATCAGGGCCATTTATTTGAATTCTTTTATATGACAATTTACAGTAATATAGACAGCAATATGTCCAGGGCCATTACTCTGCTCTGCTCTGACTAGTTTTACTTTCGACACTTAAGTGCAATTTGCTGATAAAAGTTCCAGTTGTACTTAAGTAGGATTATTTTTATATTGGTGCATTGGTAATTGCACTTACATTAAAGATCAGAGCACTTCTTCCACCGCTTACAGAGAGCCATGAGTAAAAACATTCTGTGGCTTAAGGGAGAAAATGGATGAAAGACAAAACTGAAAAAACAACGAATAAACATCCAACCATATAGAAGTTATGCAGTCACATATACACACTTCACATGCACAGCCTGTACAGAACAGTCTACGCTTGCAGGCTTGCCCACAGCACTTGCATGTCCTTCTCTTGATGCAGTCACCCGAAGCACATGGCAGAAAAATGAAACCCATTTTGAATGAAGCTGGAGTTTATTATAAACCATTCAAGCGGAATTTCAGAAATGCAGGTGCACGAATGCACTCAATTCCCTTCAGCTTCCCCCACACACTCCAAAACACACATGCATATTTCCCCCATGTATGCGCGCGTCTTTGTTCTGTCCACCTCCCTGTAGATGGCGGCCTATATGGACTGTTGGGAAAAGGCCGCCGTGCTCCTAAAAGTTGTTTTTCACCACATTACTGTCAAGGTATCCACCGGTGACTGATGATGGATTACATCTCAGCCCGTGCTCAGGGTTTTCCCTTAGCCTGTGACTTAACAGCAACGCCAAGCCCTCGCCGCCCTCGTTGCTACACTAACCATGAAGAGCACTGCTCAGGGAATATCACACAAGACCTTTTCGCTCCTTTCTCTTCATGTTCTCTGGGCAGCTGTTTCACAGGACATGCACAGAGGGGAGATGAGGCATGTGCCCTTGTTTAAAGGATGTTTTGGTTATATAAGAGATCTTTTTTCTTTTTCTTTTTTTTCATTTTCTGCAGACCCAAACCCTGTCTTCATTTGTCTTTCTGTGTCAATGGAAATGCACTTACTGCAATTTGGTCTAGTGCCACTCAGAGAGGCTGTGGAGCTGGGTTGTGATTCAGTGCCGCACACAAACCTACAATTCTAATGTGATAAGTAGAGATTCAGACCCTTCTTTTGGAGTCAGAGATAAGCCATTGCGTTTGGGTAAAAGCTCAGACAAGGCTCATTTAAAGGAGGAACTGATTGCTGTTTCATTTAGCGTAGATGAAAGCCACTTTACTCTCCACCTTGTGAACAGCATCAGGTAAAGGAGGCAAAGTTTTATTTTTACTTTCAGTCCAAACTTCTGGGAAGATTTGTGTTTCCTCTTTCTGTTATCCCATGTGTTATGATTTATTATTTTTCACATTTCAGCCAGTCATTATCCAGTCTAATGGTGTGCCATTAATCATAGTAGCTGCCGTGTGAATCCCAGGTTTTTGTGTGTGTTGTGTGATAATTAGTGTCGAGGGCTAGAAAGTAAAATCCCACTTTGGGTTGTTATATGTCTGTGTATTATTTTGCATACAGTATGATGCTTACAGTCCACATTTCCCAGTGTGCCTCTGTGGCCTGGAGGACCTGCCCAGCTCTAACAGGCTGCGCTGAGGTTAAATCAATTATGTGCAACAGAAAAACAAAAATGAGCTCCTTTAAAAACACAGCAAAAATATTTCGGAAACGGGCAAGCATTTATGAGATTCCTTGAAGAGATTTAGCTTGAGATTTTAGCATCTTCCACATCTTTTTAAAAAAATGGCTGATTAAGGTTGTAGATAATGTCATTAATAGTGTTATCAAATTATATGCTGTAAATTTTAATAAACTGTTCATTTAATTGCATATCCTATCAAGTTTGGAAGGCTCAGTAATTAGATTATATTACCGTGTGTGAATAATGTAGAAGATTATGTTGCAGATTACAGTTTCAATCAGGTAATCAGTGATCTGTAACATATTACATTTTTAAAAGTAACATCCCCAGCCCTAGCTATAGCTACCCGCCTCTCCTTTACTCTGTCAGGAATTATGCAAATTTCAAGCAATTAAGGGGCTCTGTGTCATTCTGTCTCTTCTCCTCAACATTCACTGTTGTTTTTAAAGCCTCGCCAGTGACTTTTGTCAAGCATCTGTATGAGAATGTCAAGAGCAAAGATGCTTAAGATGGGGAAATTATTCATATCCATTTCAGTGCTTGTTCTCACAAGCACTTACACATATTCTGTCCTCGCTTAAACCTACACAGACATTTTGTCACCATGCACATAATCTATCACACATTTAACATAGGCTGAAATATAAAGTTACACATACGTTGCAGAGGGAGGGGTCTGTGTTGCACCAAGGTCATGTTCAGCCCCTCGCTTCGCTCTGAGACGTCTTGGCTAAATAATTCACTACCAGGTTGTCTGTGTGGTAAGAGGTGAAGCCTGTCAGATGCTCAAATAAGTTATTAATTTTCCATTTTGAAAGCTTGAGGTGCGCTTCATCATCCTGTTACCTATTTTCCGTGAAGCGTGACTGATTTCGTTCAGAACATTGTTCTAGTTTTTCTGCAAAATTGATCTCCCTACATCCATTGCCACTCTCCCCACAATTGTTTTCACTCGTCATTTTTCTTTTATTGCTGAGGTGTATTGACTTTGCAGTGTTGATTGTTCAAAGTTTACTTACAATATGCCTAAATTTCACCTGTTTCTCCCTGCTCGCCGTTTCCATTCCTGTTACAATATAAGATTGTCATCTAAAATGTTTTTCTTCCTCTCTGTGTCTGTGCATGATTTAAATATGATTTAAATAAATATGGTTGTCATTCAAAAAGCTGTTTCTTTTCAGTTATGTCTTTCTTAGGTTTTCAGTGAGCTTTGGTTATACATTGCTCAGAACCATTTTCCTTCTATTTTGACACTTTCATAACATGTCTTTGTCTGTACATTTATTTATTTATCTCATACTCTTCTAGACTTAGTATTCTGACTGTCTTTTCTGTCTTCCAGATATTTTTTCTCTGTAAATATCTCTGGAGGTCAGAGACAACATCGTCTGACCGCGACGGCCCTCACCTGAATAGCGTCTGTCTTGTATAGATGTCGATGCACCATCCTCCCACTCATCCTCTTTTTCTCTTCTTTGCCCTCTTTATGACTTTTTTTCATATTCCCACCGCGCTAACATCCTTGACACACTTTCCTGTCCCTAACAAATGTCATCTGAACTCATCTGAGCCCATCTGTCTCCTCCCTCAGATCCTCCAACAGTGGAGCCGGTTTACATGGAGATGCGTCAGGGCCTGGGAAGGCCTGTGGTGATGACCTGCAGGGTGCTGCGAGCCCACCCCTCCCGTGTTCTGCGATTCGAGTGGCTTCTATCAAACCGGCTGCTCCACGCCGGAGCCTTTGACGCACAAAGAGATGAGACGGAGTACACCATCCGCAGCTTGAATCGAGACGGATGGGGGGAGTACACTTGTAATGTCATCAATGAGGCTGGAGCAGGCAAATGCACCTTCCAGGTCACAGGTAAGTAGTGCCTGTCATTAAAAAAAAGTATTTTTTATGTTTTTATACTGTTAGGAACTGACTGTTCACTGAGCCCTAGCTTAGTTACGGTTGCTATGCCTGTTAGGCTTCTTTTTCCTCATGTGACACATGCTGTTAATAATGGGGGCACCTTTGTTACTTGAAATTCTTGATAATTTTTTCAAACAATATTTCCTTGATTCCAGACAAAATTAGACAAAATTGTGCAAATAATGATTATGCCAGCTGAAATGATAACTGTTTATCAGCTGTAGCAAGCTAATTTGGCTAATATTAGCCTCATGAAGTCAGTTTAAAACGCTGTCTCTGGCTGACTGTTTAATATTTTAAACTACTTTTAAACAAACAATAACCCTGTTGAAAAGGTATCGTATTAAAAGCTAATGCTAATGCTACATATCCCAAGCAAGAAGTCCTCACCAGATGATGATCAAAGTGGAAGACATGGAAATAAAGAAGCAACATTACTGTTGTATTGCAGTGTATGACTGTACAACAGGATGACAAGAAAAACTATAAATTCATATCTTATTCTAACATAACCCTGTTTGGCTTCTTAGCACATACACGACAGAGGTTAGGTTGATGCTTTATTGTTTGGATTTTCAAAGTCTGTTTCATTTTTAATGTTACAAAGAAAAAGCTTTTAGGATGAGAACTAACTGATGTGTTTGATGAAACTAACGCTGCCTGGAAGAAGTTGCTGGAGTGTAAACTTCCTCAAATCTAATAAAGAGAGGGACAGAGCTGTTAACGTCAGCCTAAACTCTCATAGTAGCTTCCACACAGTAGCTGTGCCATCGCTAACTATGCTTGTTTAAACCTGTAATGTTGGCAGTAAATAATTAGGGTCTGGGTCTGAGAAATGAGGCCACCATGGAAGTACTTAAAACTCCATTCTTTCTTATGGCCAGCAGGGGTTAGCTCCAGTGTTAGCAAAAAGACCTGCGCTGTATTCAGCTGTGTTAAAAATGACCATACTTCTCTCTTAATTTATTCATTTGAGTTTATGGTTTCAATCGCTAGTTTCAAGTCTTCTTCCATACAGCATGCTGTTCATTTTGTAAATTATGGTCACATAGGGCGTGGCTGGCAAGACATTCTCAGTGATTCCATCTCAGATCAATCTGTTAAACTAGGCAGTGCTATTCAAATATGAATCAAGATTCTGTTACTGCATTGTCTATACTAGTGAAAGCATTGCTTCCTGCTGCAGAGCAGCTCAACTCATGTACTTCACCACTGTTAGCAGGAAAAAACCAACATGGTGATGGCCATTATGCCAAACTTGAGACTTTATTTTACAAACCAATGGTTGACATCACAATACATTCACACTTTATCTGTTACCCCACAAAATAGCCTAGTAAGTACTTCTTGGCCTTGGAAGTCATTATATTGTAGGTATTAAACTAGAGTAGTTAGCCGGATATGCAAACACTAAGTGGATCAGACCAACACAGTGTAATCCATTACTCACACTTTTGCTCTTAATAATAAGAGCAAAATTGTTGCTGGGCAGTTAATTATTTAAAGTTACATACCATACCATATTTCACTCTCACTCTCATACACACATTTAGTGGTATAAAATGGACCGTAGGTGTGCTTCATTCACCTTGAAGCTGGACGCGATGACATTTTGCTGCCATACATCTGGATATCTACAACAACTTCAATATGCACTCCAGTTTGTAATTAGAGTCTTCACTGAGAAATTTTTGGACAGCTGAAATTGGCTCCTCAAATATATAACAGTCCTTGTCACACTGCATTTGAGACACATTGATGTCTCTTTTTGATCGACATTCATTTAAAAGAAGAGTGAAAGAAAAAATCCGTACATTGTAAATCTGAATGGGACATGTCAATCATTTTAGCTTTTTCTCTGTCTCACGTAGTAAACCTGTTCTTTCAGATAATACACACTTACCCTCTTCTTGCTATTTTTTTTAGATTGCCTCTTTTTTTATATATCAAGAGCTGCAAGTGTCCATCTCCTAGTTGGTTGTTATGACAGGACCAAATTAGTTTGGCCGGGCTGAGTGACCGCAGGAACTCTGGCCAAGGTTTCAATCTCCCAGACCTCCCATTAGAGACAGGAGCTGCAGGGTCACAGGAGGAGTATTTGTCACTGTGATCCTCTGCCACTTAGGTTGCTCTCCTCTTTGATACTGTCTATTTCTCTCCATCTATTGCTTCTTCTAATCGTACCTTTCTTCACTCGATTTTTCTATCTCCTCTTTTGCGCTTCCTTTTTCTCTTTGTCCATATTTTCTTTCCCTCGTTCTTCATCTTTCTCATTTTAAACGTGTCTCTATCGTCCTCCAAGCAGACTGGAGAGAGAGATGGACACCCCCCTCTGTGTGCCATAAATCGGTCCTCCCTGGTGAAGCAGGTAGAGCAGAGAGGCAGGAGCAGATAGCCCCCTCCAGCCATTTGTTTTTCTCAACAGGGCTGGGGTTTGTCTGCTATTGCTCCCTCTTCCCACCTCCACTCCCCTTCCTTCCCTTTCATCCTCCTTCTCTCTCTCCTGCCATCGCTCCATTCCTCCCGCCCAATGCTCCAGATTCCCACCATCTGGACTCAGTGGTTGCCAAAGGTATGGAGGCTCTTTTAGTAACCCCCCTGAGTGCAGGAGCATGGTGCAGAAAATCCACTTTGGTTCCTCCCATCATCCATGAAATCTGGTGTGCCCCATTCCCTTAACTGCATCTCTTACTCTTTTTTATCCTGAAATTCAATACTACAATACTATGCTACAATATGAGATCAACACTTTTCTGTAGGGTGGTTGAAATACATATCTACTGGAGAGAAAGTGGATATCAGCTTCTCTCTATGACTTGTGAGCCCACTTCAAGATGAAGCTCATGAAATATGTGTTATAGCTCCTGCAGTAAGGTAATATCTTGGTTTGCTCACTTTACAGAATAAAGACAGGTAGACACTTGATATTCACTCACCGCTCTCTCCTTGACTTCCTCTTTGGCTGTGTTGATGTGTAATAAAGATATCATTTCAGTTTTGGCCTGAAGCTACAGTGGTTCAATTAAACTCACAGATCAAGTCAACATACCATGCAAAACATACATGTTACCATGCTGGCAGACACATGCAAATCCACCAAAGTCTGGCATCAGGCCATTCTTTGGCTTATATAAATGCTGTCGCCTCAAAAAGTGTATTGTGCCAGGGGAGAGTGTGTGTGCATGTGCATGGATGCCCATGTGCCAAGCCATTGGGACATCTGTGGAAACAGTGAGTTGACTGTAATGGCCAAGTTGGCCATTAAATTGTGCCAAGGGAGAGACCCCTCAGAGGGATGTAATGTGTACCACTGAGCTTTGGCTCAGGCTCTCTGTCATGGGAACCTTGAGTTTTTAGCAAATGCTGAAATCATGCTCCTCTGAAGGTTGGGAGTAAAAAAAATTCACTGTCTGAGTATTGAGTCATGCTGCTTTTTCCCCCTCTGATCCGGTCTGATGCAGTCAGTCATTTATGCACAAGTCTACATGTCCTGTGCATCGTCTCCTTAGGCTGCAAATGTGTGTTGATGAAGCAGTGAAACGCAAGTCACAGAATAGACGTGACATTTAACCATGTATTCCATCAATTTAGTATTGCACTTCATAAAGTTGTCATATTTCATATCCCATATTGCAACTCAATAGCATCTTTCACTAGACGCGCTCAATTGCCTAAATGCCCATTTCTTTCTAACTTCCCATTTGTAGTGCAGGCTTTCTATTTAAACTTTCAACCCCAAGCTGAGAACCGCCCCCCCGCAAAGCTGCATAAAGCCTGTAAGGCACTGCATTTGTCTAATCACTGCAAAAACCGAAATTTATAATAAAATAACTAATTCTTCAGTTAGTCCATGCTTCTCACTCTTTCTCTTCAGTGACAAGTCTCCCAATCAGTGCAATACTGCAGTTTGCTGGAATTCCGCAATCTGCTCAGAAAGGGCAATGTTCTCATTGTTTCTCATTTTTCCCACGTTTAAGTCCTCTTTTTGGCAGTCTGTCATGAATTAGAATAGAAGAACAACTGAATTCTCAGGAACAATGTTGAGATATTCATTCTCTGCATTTTGGGGGGTTTGCTCACACAGTTAATTCAGATTCTCCATAATGATGTGTTTGTATGGTCCCAGTGTCCCTTTTATTGTAGTCATTGTTCATAATGATGCAAAAATGTCACTGTGGAACGTGGTGCCCAGCCAAAGCTGGCTGCAATGAGATATCTGCATATGTTTCAGGAGGAAAATATATTTATTTTAGTGTGACACACACACCGCCACTACCTTATTCCTGTTGTACCTTATCTGCACTCTATTTTAATATATTATTATTTAATCCATCATCTGTTTTGAGCAATGTTTTTGACGTCTTGATTTATTTTTTTCTACGTTTGTTTGGCTCTTTTGAGGTGTGTTTCAAATAGGCCTCTTGGGTCTTTTTTGAACTACACTAGTACATTATGATGTTTTATTTTGTGTGTGTGTGTGTGTGTGTGTGTGTGTGTGTGTGTGTGTGTGTGTGTGTGTGTGTATTATTTTTGTCTTTATCATTTTTCATATCTTCAAGTGAAAGGAAAAGAAAACCTACATTGATTTTACCTTCAAACCTGCACATTCCTCAATCTCAGGGGTTTATAAATCAGTGTTGGTCTCCAGTGAACATTTGTGCCTTAGCTTTGAGTTCCAGACATGGTTTTTAGTAACTCAACTATCTGCCTTTATAGCCTGTGCCCAGTTCACCTGGTTTGAACTTCACCTCCGCAGTATGTGGTGATTGATGTTGAATACTTTCCACAGCTCATAGAGACATACTGACAGTGATGCATCCTGTAGGTAGTAATGACTGACACTACGTGGTCAAAGTATAAAGGCAGCATATGAATAATGTTATCTGTGATCAGAATGAAATTCTGTCAGGTTTGAAGGACAGACGCAATCTATTCTGCTGTATTTCTTT